GTCCAGTGGTCGAAACTCGACCAAAATTAATTAATGTACAGACTTCTCTATTTTCTACCCACACTGTAAATAAAACATGTGATTGGAATTTCTTCCCTTTGTTTTGATTTTCTGTTTACATTTTGTTGTTATTTCGTCACCATCATGGCAACCCATATGGTCCATGTTAATTTTTTGAAGTTTTCAAATTCATTTTTTGTGCTTATTTGTTAGCCTATTTTAATTTTTAAAGGCATTCTGCACATCTACAGGAAAATATCTCTCCAACAGTATGCGTAGATTTTCCCTGCGATGCACACGAGCTGAGAAAAAAGGTTTTAAAGAAACATGCTTGCCTATTAATATATAGATAGATAGATAGATAGATGACTTAACAGAACGGTCCTATCCTGATATTTTTTACTTCTCTGTCGTTAACTCATTACTATTTAATGTTAGAAGGCTTCTTCAGGGCTAATTAGCTATTAAAAAAGTCACATATATTAGTCCAATGAATACAAACCCTAAGAAGCGCAATGCCTTTGTACGAAATTCAGTCTAGAAATATTTGCATTTTCGATAGTTTCCGCGGCGGCCCCTAGGTAGAACATTGCGAGCGCGCGCCAAGTCGCCAAGTCAGCTGACTTTAGTGCGAGAGAGTGAGACAAAAAATCTGCAGAGAAAGAGAGAAATATATAGTAGCATTGACTTTGACTATAAATACCTGTAGGTATATAGTCAATGATAGTAGCTAGTGTAGTGCGGCCGCTGAGGGAGCGATCGTAGCGGCGGCCGCGCATAGCTCATTTCGGCGTAAAAATTGTCTGACTATTCTCCATAAGCATTTCGCTTCTAAAAGGGGTTGTATTCATTGGTTAGTCATGCCATAGACTAGGTCGTACTTATTGCCTTGCCATCTACACAATTTCTATTTATTATATGTAAATATTTAAATTGTTACTATTTATTTGTTACTATTTGATACAACTATTTACTATTTATTTCAAGTTGTAAATGTATTTTAATTGTAAAGTGGCTATGCCGTTGGAAAATAAAATAAAATGAATAATAGAATAATCTCTTACTCAGACACATCTTTTTACACCTGTCTCCAAAATATATACGAAGTGGGTTCAACAATAAGCTCGTAAAACTTGAGAAAATCCAGTTGCTATCGCATAAAACCCATTCAAATAGTCAGATTATGCTGATTCGTTCAAATAAACTGATATTTACAAGGTTATTTTTCCAATATTTAAAAATTTGTACACATGGATTGTTTATAATGCCGACACACCAGGCTACATATTTTAAGGCAAATATGAATCATACGAATGTAGGTATCATATTACCTACATTCGTATTATCCCAATTTCAAAGTCAAGTGTGGTATTAAAGTTTTGAATGAAAATTAAACTTTTATTGCGATTTTATTCATTTTCCCATTGGCAAGAAAAGAACAAGAAACTTCGCGAGCGCGGACGTGCGACGGACACTCTGTAGGGGTTCGCACTCGTCGTATTGTCTTTGTTGTGCCGGGGTATTGCCAGGGCCTTAGTCTACGGCCATACTAGCGTTTTTTTTTCAAGGACGAACGCAGCGTGAAAACACGCAAAATACTGTGCGGCTTTAAAACTAATATGCACCCGCAACTGCGGGAAAACACACTGGTGTCTGGGAGGTCTGGCATTCCCCATTACATTTATTGCTGCTCAAATTTCCCGCATGTGTTTTCACACTGTGTTCGTGAGGGAAAACAAACGCCCGCGGCCCGTGTGGCCGTAGCTTTATTGCTGGGAGGGGTTGGTTTTGCAGGTTGAGAGTCTAGCTTCTGTTGGTGTAGGAAACTCTCACCATTTCGGTGTGACCAAATCGTTTGGAAGTTTACACTGTTGTTGGTTGGTGATATGTTTTCTATATCGTAAGTGATTTTGAAAATTACCAAACTGTTTGAAAATGACCAGGCTCGTGAAGATGCAGTATTTATGAACTACGTCGTACCGTGTGCATTTGTGTATTGTGTACATATAAGAACTTCTCACCTCCCTTAAGATGCCACACAACGTGGCGAAATATATTGGAGGAAACACCTAAAACCTGCAAGAACAAAGGCTATGAAATTAAGTTTTCTCATTTTTGAACATAAAACCAAATTCGTAAATAAAATAGTCTTCGGCTGCTTGATCCCTAAGGATGAGAAATCTACTAAGGGACATGGGGTACATGGATGTATCATAAATGTATCATGGATAGTATCACAGAGAATAGTTTTATACTAGGTGAAACCCGTCGAGATCGACGGTTACTTTCAAGGGTTACGTTAATTCATCTAACTGCGCGATAAATTGGGTAAAATATACATATTTTGAGCATTTAGCATTGTTTAAAGAGTAGTAAGTGTAAAAACAATAATGATATTAATTGCGTTAGTTGCCAAATTTGGTTGATCATTCAATGAATAAAATATTACACATACCGTACGTCATCGAAGTTATTATTAGTATGTTATATGGTATCTCTTCCTTTAGAAGAACCTTAAAATAGTATTAAAATCGTATTGGCGAATCTTTTGTAGTTAAACACTTCCGTGATTTTATCAGTGTAATATGATTTTATTTCAAAAGAAAATATTTTTTGGGAAGACATATTCTAAATTCAAAGAGAGGTATATCCGTTACAGTGAAAGTTTGATTTTTCCTTCGCGTCAGTTCATATCGTAGGGTACTTCTGTGCCAATGAATGAACCCTCTAGCATAGTTTTGAGAAATTGATTGTGGGGTTACTGATAAAGCTGGAATTCCTTGACATGAGGGATGTCAGTTAGTTGCCTCAGCCTTATCAATAACATAAAGTTGTCAATATAATCTCTCTACGGAATGTTAGGTGTTAGGTGTAGTGGAACACTTGAAGTGAAGTTGGCTTTTATTCTTGAACTGTTAGAGACCTCCTAGTTAATATGGTCTTCCGGCTTCATTGGCAACAAATAATGCAAATTAGGCTACATAGCAATGGCACATTTCCATAAAGCAAAAATAATTGACTGTTACGTATATATTGACGTTTACATATTGTTAATCAACGTTACTTATAAAGGATTATTTGATCTAGTTTAAAAGCAATATGACCTTTCTGTCAGTACAGTATAGTTCGGCCGCTTAGAAAACGACCTGCGAGCTAATGCTAAGCCAATGCTGGAGGAGGTCGCTTTCTAAGCGGCCGAACTATAGCTGCTAAAATAGTATTTTCTCTTTGTACCATATTTTAGAGCCAAAATGCCGTGTTATTTTCAATAATGTTACCAACCCAGTAGGCCGAAGTTCGTAATATAGGCAGGTGCAAATAATTTGTCAAGATGGATACCATTTTTGGCAAGGTTTCTATGTTTGGATTTTATTAGACACGATAAGAGCAGATATTTCTACATAGATATTTGATATGTGTAGAATAATATGATAAAAGTAGGCAAAAGTGGTGAAAAAGGCAGACACCAACCCGTACAATAGATATAAGATAGTTCAATAAGGAATAATTTGAGAATTGCTGTGATAAAAGGATTTTCCACTGATTTCTTAACGGAACGTTATATTTCAAAACATGACATGATAAAGAAGAAAATCAATTTTAAAATCAGAAAATAACATTGCAAATACTGATTTGGTAGAATTCAGTAACTCCCAATATGTGTGTTGTTTGAAATACAATTTAAAAATGAACAGCTGTTTCATTAAAAAGTATTATTCATGGCCAAAATGTAAACAACTCTGTAAAGGGATCTTTAAAGGGGTCTGACTTAGGGGAGGTACAAATGAGGCATTTAGTTCAAAATTCCTCCGTGAACAGCGCTGTAGTAGAGAGCACTTTGGCAATAAAGGTTTACTAATCTCAAAAATAGTTCTGTTCATAAAATAAAATTATAAATTCCTCAAATTCAATTTTACTATTTTTTTAATTATAAAATTAAACTATCATAACCTAACCGAACTAACCAAACTTGCTGATAAAGAAATAATATAACAACAGTTTAGTAATCGGAAAAATAATTCTGTTTATTAAATAAAACTAGAAATTGCTCAATTAAAATTTTATAATGACTTAATAATAAAATTAAACTGTAATAACCAAACCAAACCAACCAAACTTGCTGATAATAAAAAAATCTTGGGCAAAAAGTTAATGCTACCAGCGGGATTCGAACCCGGGACCTACAGTATATCAGCCCGGCACGCTAACCATTAGACCACCGAGGCCGATGGTTAACGAACGTTTTGTTACGGTAATGGCGTTCCCTCAGCTAATAAGAAGCCCTCAGCTGTCATCGTAGCCTCTTCTATACCTCCCCTGAGTAAATACCTCTTTAAAGGCTTCTGGGGCAGAGTTCTAAGGGATTTTGCTTCGTTTTTCTTTTGATAACTCATCTACAGACTAAGACATTTCTTTGGGCACCTCTACCAAGTTTCTAGGCCCAGCCGTTCTCTCAAATTAGTGGGGACAAAGTTTCCAATTAAATATTTAGATTCCCCCATGTTAATATTATGGGAGAAACTCCAACTTTGATGGCTTGTGGGGCAAAGCCCGAGGATTTTTATTACAAGAATTGGTGAAAGGGGGCGTCTACATAAAAATACTTTATTTTAACACGTCGTTTGTAAAAATCCGTCCATTATTAACGGAGGAGTAGCGTTTTGTAGAAATCACCTTCACGTATTATATATAAGGATTGTCTGTGACAACATATGGTTTTTTAAAGGACATACGGACATAAAAATATTTAAATTGGATGACATTATAGATTATACATAACAGTGCATTTTTTCTGAATCTCCTTAAAAACGTAAAACTTGACCTAGATGATTGCAGTAGTACAGTACCAACAAAAATACAAATAAAAACTCATGTCAAATCCGCTAGGCAGTGGACTGTTAAAAAAAAAAAAAAAACCAGTCAGTCCAGGTCCAGCCAGATCTCCCTCCAATCCAATCGATCATCGATCACAACAATACTTAACACTTAACCTAAAACACCTTTATGTCATTAACAAGTCTATAGTATACATAATTTATAGTACAAATATTGCTGCTCTGTATAAATACACAGTGTGATGTTCTATAAAAGCTTATAAATAATTGTTGTCAGGTTGTCATTAAGACATTTTTAAGCAAGGTAAGTAAACAAAGATTGTTTGTGTTTGTAGAGTAGGCTATGCAAGTTTTGAGACAACATATTAATCTAATTCGGTGGAAATGGCCTAGTTTACCTTACCTAATAATAACATTGAATGAATAACTAGATTTAGAGATTACATTAACCTCTAGTACTTGATAACCGACTCCCTCTGTATTATCGATTGTTACAATCATTAAGTTTGGTGTTTTATTAGGCTAAGGTTGGTTATTGATCAAATCGATACTTTATGTTTATTGAAAAACCTAAAGTTTACTAAGTTTATAGGTAGTAAGTTAAGTGGTAAAAATATATACTTTACTTTATACTTTCTTATGAAATGGCGACCATACTATGTAGGTATTTATAGCCTAGCCTAAGTAACTTAAACTTAAATCTTTAAGCCGCGTTTACACCAAAGTTGACAACCAATAGTTAACAACCTAAAGTTTACAACTAAATGTTGCTCCTCACTAATTTAGAGCAACTAACTTAGGCCTAGTGAAACACTTGTTTCCAAAGAATAGGCGCTAAATGATCAGTACCTTACAGTTACGCAGTAGTGCAAGGATGTCGTCGGACGAAGAAGACGCAATATTTCATTCCTAAACAGAAAATAATATGCACTTTAGTTACCGGTACATTATTGAATCAGCAATCTGACACATACTATCTCCCATTAGTTTGTCAACAACAATTATCTGGATAGGCGATTAGAGTAATAATGATATTTAGGTAATAACTTAGGTATTTAAGTAACTGTGTAACTATGATATTTATTATCTTAGGGTAAAATTACAAAGTTGCATTAACTTGAATTTTGAATCGTAACTTTTACACCAATGAGGAGTTGCACTATACTGTTTAGAACTAGGCCTATAAGGACCACAAAGGTAGACAACATCAAAAACCGTTCAATCAAAAACGGTTTTTTAAATCCATTTTTTTCATGGGAGTTTTATGGAAAAATAACATAAGTTACAATAACTTTTGAACCTTAATTTTTACAGGAATGGGAGTTCTACTATTTTGTTCAGAATTTAAAGGGTGGCTACAACATACTAGATCTTTATCAAAATCGTTTCAGCCATTCCCGAAAAAAAGTCAATTTTTCCGCCTTTTTATGGGGTTTTATGGAAAAATCACCATTAAAAATCAAAATTTCAAAAAATATAAAAAACACCAGGAGATATTATGGATTTAGTATCTACATACAGTACCAAAATTTATCAAAATCAGACCACAGGCGTGGTATGTACCTCTGTACACATCCAGAGTTATTAGGCCTGATTAAGATATTTAAATAGAAAAATAGTTAACTTTTACCCTAGGCATATTATAATAATTACAACAATACAATAATACACATTTACAATTTATGTGTAAGTTACTATATGGGAGGGGAATAGTTCTTCACTAGTTTTCCACAAGTTGCTTGCGCAAAGCGCGTAGCAACTAGTCTTCCACTTTTTGTTGTAAACTTACTTTGATCTTTACCGACTCCGAGGGAAACCAAAATTTAGTGGAAAAACTTGTCACTCCACTAGTTGACGACAGAAAAAGTCGCTGCATTTTGTAGAAAAAGCAACAAGTTTCCGCAACTAGTGGAAAACCTGGTTGTCAACTTTGGTGTAAACGCAGCTTTAAACCGTAACTGAACAGACATAGCCTATTGCCTACTAGACCTAATAAAAATAATGTTTTTGGTGTACATACAGGTTTCAATACCAACATTTAAAACCATGGCCGACGAGTTTCCCGATCCTGATGAAGAGTTTGAGCTCATGCATGCTGCTGAGATGGAAATGATGCAAGAAATGGAGATGGAAAACTTTGATGGTAAATATAATCTCAAGGACGCCTAATCGATGTGAAGATTGTCTTAAACAAATTAAAAAAATGATATCCTTAAGTAAAATTAACTTTTAATTTTTATTTTGTTCTGATTATCCTTTTAAATAAATACACCTATTACCTCTCTTTCCTCCTTTCCCTGTTTTTCCTTCCTTTTCCCCCCTTAAGCCTAAATGCTTGGATTTACAAGTTGATAACTTAGATACCTATTTTTGTTCTTTAGCCTACACCAGTACCTACTCTGAACATTTTTGATTCCAGATGAAATGTATGCAGACCACGATCCGGGACCCAAAGCCAAAAGAAGTCTTGATTTTAAGAACACTAAAAATGACTCTTTGAAGTTAAGCCCCCCTCCTGAAGTGGAGCCACTTCTTAACAACTCATTTCTATCTCAGAATGAAACTAGTAAAACTACCGGCACTCAGCTCTCAAAGAGTCAGCAGGGTAAAAATAGCTCAATTCTTGAAAATGGACAAGACCCTGTAAGTATAATTTAAGATTAAATAAAACACAGATTTTATTAGAAATATGTATGTTTGCACCACATATTTTTAATACAGTTGTGGCTTGGTATGCCTACTTAATGTTTTTTTTTTTTTGGAAAATACAGCATCAGCAAACTTTTTGGAAAATAAGCTTATAATCAGCAGTACCTCCACCTACATGATTTGATTGATAATTTTGCTTTGCCTACAGCAGATCAGAAGAGATAGACTAATTCAAAGTCATCTAATTTCACGATGAAACAGTTGACACTAACCGAGTCCTATTAATCATTCCAGTGACAAGGTGAAAGGTGGCTAGTGTCAGATTAAAAACATTGTTTAGGGTGCATCAAACATATAAAATAGGATATAAGCTGGGTGTAACTTATAAGAATCCCTGACGTCTATACATAAAAGATAAACATATTTATTTTTTTCAGTTACTTTATCTTTTACACTGTTTAAAGAGCAATCTTTTTAAAATACTCTGTACCATAACGGAAAAAAATAAAAAATCAATGCGATTTTAGGTAAATACAGAAAACATACTTGTGGCGCTGAATGAAAATGGGGCGATATCCAACAAAAGGCGAGTCGAAGATTTGTTTGGTGATATTGATGACATTTACTTTGATGATGAACGTAAGTTGCTAAATTTATTCATTAGGCCTATACTCAAAGGTGTGAATAAACTGTGTATAAATATTACTGTTATGCTTTTGAGACCTCTATGACATGTTTTCTGCTGAGGAAAGTTAACATATGTACACATGTAATATGCATTCTCTTGAAAACTAGAGTTAAGTTAGATCCAAACTTCAAAAAATCATAATTGTTATTATATCTTGTTAAAAATAATTGGATTAGGCCTAGGCCTTTACGGTAATACTATAATCTGAAATGGCAACCATACAAAGGTTGGTATTTTAAGCCAAGTATGACTGGAGATGAGTGTAGGATGAGTGGCGTGATATTGTAGTCTTGTTAGTGACTAAGGCCGACATGTTCCTTAGACACAGCTGTTAATAGCCCATACAGCCAACGGCAACTAAGGGACCTACAGTTAATAGTGGAATCTGAACCACATTTTTGCCTTGTAAATAACAAATTGGTCTAGTTATCAGGATTGATGAGGTTATGTTTTCAAGTAGCATATACTCAGTAGGTTGGTGTTTTCATAGCCAAAATATGTTTTTACTATGGGAAACATGTTGCTTCTATATAAACTTTTTTTTACAGACACATCTAAAAAGTCCAAAAACGACGAGCTGACTGAAGATGAAAAACAACAAATGACAATTGAAACTATTTTATTTGAAAGGAAACGCCTCCAAGAATCCAAAATATTACCCCGCTTAACCAATTCAAACTCAAGGTAAGTTGAAGAATCAAAATGTTTGACTTGTTTAACCAGAAAAAAAGCTGAAATTGTGGGATAAGAATGTTTATATGGGGCCATACACATGTTACATAACACATTTTTTTTTTTTTATTTTACCCCCCCTCTCACCCCGTAACGCTTGAGCAACCCCCCTCCCCCTTTGCGTTGCTTTACTCGATCCTAGTGGCCTTTAATAACAGCTTAAGTATAATTTTACTAGTGGAATATGGATTTAAACTTGTAATGACTATAGTTTAGTAATCTTTTTATAATAAAAGAAAAATTGATACTAACAAACAAGATTGTTACTAATAATGAAGAATATAAATATATGTGGACGTATCTTTTTATATAACCAAGTGATTTAGATGTAATTTTGATTATTTTTGCATTTTTAAAGAGGAATGTTTGCGTTACGTAATGTTGAGCCAAACCCCCTCCCCCCATATAATGCAGCGTAACGCTATGCCATACCCCCCCCCCCTAAAGTGCGTTACAAAATATGTGTATGGCCCCTATACGCTAAACTTAATTACCGGTATACTGTTTCCATTAACTTGACAACAGTAAGAAGGAAAAGCTTCTCTTACTTCAGCCCAAAGCTGTAACGACCTCCCCTCTGGACTCAAAAAATATGCCTAGGTTGTCATCCTTTAGAGTTAAGATCAAAGTATTGTACATTGATGGTTAGTTATTGTTATTTATATTATCTTTTTTCTGTTTTGTTATTGTTCTATTTATTTGTTTAGTTATGTTATTGACGGAAGTTGTTCTGAAAAGCAGTTTGTTGTAGCCCAACTGAGAAACGCTTGATAAATAAAGGCATTTTTATTTATTTATCATTTACTTTTCTATCTTTTTCACACTTGTATTTCCATATGAGTTTAGGAATTAAACACCATGATGGCTTAGCCATTTGACTTATTATTTAGCATTGAATGTGTTATGTATGAAAAATACCTAGTACAATTTAAGGAAAACTAGTTTAGTACCTAACACATTTATCTCAATGATTAAATATTTTTGATGTCTTTGTGAACCAAAAACTAATTTTGAATGCTTTATTTTAGATTCACAAAATCAAACAAAGTAAAATTTTGTCGGACAGTTCCAAGATACAATTTTATGCCCCTAACTGACGGAAAAGGTGAGAGGCTCTACACAAGACTTCATACTGAAGAGGACATTGAAAAAGAGGTAGATTTTCTTCAAATTATACTATAGAAATGAAATTGCAACTAAGAGAAAAACCTCCATGATTTCTTAGTACAGGAAAAGTCTTTAGTAACAAGTGATTTGATTAAGAAGAAAAAATAATTATACAGTTTATTTTATTATTTTTCTCTAAGAAGAGGCTCTTGACTAGGATTGTGATTTCTAGAGACTGGGAAATCATAGCTAGCTTACCTTAAAGAGTCCAGGTAGGCCATAGTAGGCACATAAAAACACATTGTTGACATACTGAAGCAACAAAGCTGTCTTCAATATGCAATGTTGGTCCAAACAAGTAGCTCTTTTTCTCCATAGACTGTAAAAATCTCTTTTACTTCCTTGGGAGTAAAAATCAGCTGGAGTCGATGATTTCAGCAGTACATTTTCATGTCAACTTCGATTGGAAGCAACAGGTTCATAAAGAGTATCTTTTTGTATGGGCTGTTTAAAATTGTTCGTAGTTCATTTTTCATTGTTGTCGACTGGATTCAATTTTTTTTAATTTTTAATTTTTTCAATTTTTTTTAATTTATGGGAAAAAAATGGGAAAACAGTTTGTTGCATGTAATGCTCAAGAAATTAAAACAATTGGAATTGATATATCAATAGTTTACTTATCACTGGTTTACATATCAATATCTATCAATAGTGTAATAAACACAAACACTATCTTACTAAACCAGTTGCTTGTTCACAATAACAAAATTGAAAACTTAAGTAATTTTGTGAGCTGATCTTTACATAAAAAGTATTTCCGTTTGGTAACTTAGTTTGCTTAACTATTCGTGCAATAACTTATTACAATAGTTATTTGTGAAACTAGTGGGTGAAGTGGCACTTTGCTGCACACGAGAGAAATGTTTACGCACGAGCCGTTGGGGAGTGTACACGGATTACGTGCATGATAAAAGCACGCTATGTTGTGTTGTTTGGTTGGAATACTATGTGTGACAAAGTAAAACCTATGCGACAAAGTGAAAACTGTGCACGGCAAAGTAAGTAAATGCATCAATTAGCAGCTTTCTGTCTAGTGGGGTGGGTTAGCAACAAATTACACCAAAATATTTCACATCTGGCAACCAATGCACCCCTTTGGATTCAGATAGTACATGCGTAGACGAGTCCAAAAAGTCCGGGACACAAATTTTTCGGGCACTCTATGGGTGTTGATGACGTTATCAATATGGCCGCCAAAGTTGTGTGACACGATTCTACATTTCCCTATATAACTCGGGTTCATATTTTAATAGTGACCTACATTTTTAGTGATTATTAATCATGAAAAAATTACCTTTCCGATGGTGTATTTTACTTCATTGTTTATATTCATAATAGGCCTACTACGAATATTAGTTTTAAAAATATTTTGTTTTTGATTTATATATTTTTAAATCATTTTGCTAAGTGTCATGGATTTCGTTACACGTAGCTGAAAACGTCTTACATACACTTTTTTGTCAGAATATTACCTTTCTAACGGTTTATATAACTTATATTTTAAAAGAAAAACACTAGGCTACTGAAAATTTGCACAACAATGTAGTGGTACACAGTGAGTCGTTATGACAACAATGCAATTTATATGGGGTCTGAAAAGTAATAGCGCTATTTAGGGCTATTAAACTTTCACTTTTGTTTTAAAATTAGAGACAATAAAATTAAGTACAAGAAATAAATACCCCATCGCAGCAAACCTGCCGACCAAGCGAATTTCCATTTGTCTGAATTGATTTTCAATTAAATATATTTAAATTAGGTTTAACGAGTACCTAGGTTTGCTGCTAAAAGGAAACTAATAAAGTGTGTTTTTAGTAAAATATTGATAGCTTTGTTTAAATAAATAAATTTGCCAAGTTTGATAAAAACATATATCCATAAACAAGAAAACTACAACATTTTACAATATTCTCCATAAGAATAACATGGGAATTTTAAATTTAAAATATTTTGAATTTTCTCCGTAACCAATCACCGTACAAAAACACTTGGACAAACTAAATGATTTGTTTTTTTAAGCTCTTTAAAAAGGTCTGGAGAAAAAGTGATAAATTTTGTGTTTTAATTATCTTATATGTATCTTTTTTGTGTACAAGGCCTACATGGACTCTTCTTAAGATTAGCTACCCGATGATTTGAATTTTCTCTTAAAATCACAAGTTCAATTTATTAGACATAGTTTTATTAAAGTTAGTGATGATAATACAGTAAAAGTTTTGATGAGATAGAAGGTTTAAAAATAAAATGGCATTAGTGTTAAAGTTAAAATAGTATAAAATATATGAAGATTTTAGAGCTATTACACTTTTTTGTCTTTTACATTAATTTGACTCTTACAGATATCGGAAATGACAAATCAAACTCCAGCTGGAGGACTTCTCTCAATCCCTTTTGAACAATTACAAAAACTGGCCGAGGAACAGGTAAGCCAGTCATGGTAATTGTGACTACCGGTGTAGTGTATTAATTTAATTATAAAACGAATTGTATATTTCTAATTCAGATTCAAATAGTTACAAGTATTAAATTTGCTAGCTCGGTCCATGTACCCTTAGATATCGTACGATGTGACGTCATATGGCCTGATCGACTAAACTAACCCCATTGGTTGTTTCCATCACACCACCTTCCGTTCCCACTGCTACCTCGATCACCCGACACTCTCTGTACCGACAGTCATCGTCCTACCTCATCGACTCCCGCACGCCAATGCGGTTTTCTTAACGTAAAATGTGTTAATTATTTCGAGCACCTGTACCTCCTTCGCTCGCATCCAGGTTCGGATGCGACAATGGCGACAAGTGCGACAACCTACTGCGTGGATAAAGGAAGCGCGTTTTACAGTGCAGTGCCATTGTTTCGGTACGTTACATGCCACTAGACGGCAATTTTTACACCGCGTTCGGTAAATTAACGTTGACAGAAGAAGAAGTTACTACAATGAGTGTCATCGGAAATTTTGGGCCGTTCGTCAGTTCGGAGGAGACGTGGTCTACATATGTGGAACGTTTTGAACTTTACATAAAGTGTAATGGAATTTCGGACGACAAGAAAGTAAGTGCGTTTCTAACAGTGATCGGAGTTAAATCGTACAATCTGCTGAAGGACTTAATTGCGCCTGAAAAACCATCGGAGAAGTCGTTTAAGGACATTGTGAGAGTGCTACAGGATCATCTTCATCCTAAACCCTCGTTTATCACGGAGAGGTATAAATTCAGCAAGCGCGACCAACTGGAACACTAGACTATTTCGGAATACATTGTTCATTTAAAGCAATTGTCAAAGCATTGTCAGTTTGAGGACAAGTTACCGGACTATCTCAGGGACCGATTAGTGAGCGGTATTCGGAATAATTTGATAAAGAAGAGACTACTGGCGGAAGACAACCTGACGTTTACTAAGGCGGAGCAGCTGGCGACATCGCTAGAGACAGCAGAGAAGGACGCAGCATCCCTGACGTACCACGGCGGCAGCGGCAGAATGGCGACAGCGATGAGGCTTCAGAGATTCTCCTCAGCGCAACGACATCAACGCAGCAAACAATCAAGTGCATCATGTGCTGTTCTAAGTGTTGTGCAATCTACAGAGTGCTATTGTTATGGAAAAAAGGGTAATTTAACACATCAGTGCTATTTTCGCGAATACGTGTGCAATTTTTGTAGAAAAAAGGGTCATTTGGAGAAGGCATGTAAATCAAAAAAGAGGGGTAAGTCCAATCATTTTTCCTCTAAAAATAGTTCAAATGCCAAGGTTAATTAATTACTCTAAAAATACTCAGGGTAACAGATACCAACATAAACAATATTATGTAGAAGTAGATGAATCTAAAAATAACGATAAAGTTGTAAATGATGAGTTATATGATATTTCTAACATTTTTCAAACTGACAGTGAACTGACTGTTAATGTAAATCAGGGTATGGTCAACAAAATTGAACCTATTAAAATAGATTTGCAAGTACAAGGTAAACAAATGAGATTTGAAGTAGATTCAGGTGCTTGTGTTTCTGTTGTTTCGGAACAATTTTACAATAAGTACTCAAGTGATGTAAAACTAAACCCCACAGATCTAGTTCTGAGTTCCTACACTCATGAAAAAATCAAACCTGTAGGTAAAATCAATGTTAATGTTAAGTACAAATCAGTAGAAAAATGCCTATCATTGTATGTTATAAGCAATTGTGCTAATCCTCTAATTGGTCGGGATTGGATTAAGGATCTCCAAATTGTTGTTAGTATCCCCAACAATGTAAATAGTGTAATGTCGACTTCAGATGAAGTAAAAGTAGAATCAGGTAATCAGTCTAAAGTTGTGCGAGATTTATTCAACAAATTTTCAGAGGTATTTACTACTAAGCTAGGCTGTTACAATTGAGATCCTGTTAAGTTAAAGCTCAAATCAAATGTAGTACCTAAGTATTACAAACCAAGACCCATACCTTATTCTTTAAAAGACAAGGTAGAACAGGAGTTACAATGTTTAGTTGACGATGGTATCATTTCCACTGTTTCAACTAGTGATTGGGGTACACCTATTGTTCCTGTACTAAAACGTAATGGCAAAATACACATTTGCGGTGACTTCAAAGTTACCTTAAATCCATATCTAGAAGTAGATAGACATCCTATACCTCGCATTGAAGATCTTTTTGCAATCTTACAGAAAGGAAAACAATTTTCTAAAATAGATTTATCATCAGCATATATGCAACTAATGTTAGACGATGAAAGCAAGAAACTTTGTACCATAAGTACACACAAGGGGTTATTTGCAGGTTCGGATGCGACAAATTAACTACAAAGGTCATTTTCTGTAAGGCTATGCCCCCCCCCCCACGAGTTTGCTTTAAAACATTCAGTGATGCTGACCAACTTTCTTTATACTTCTTTATAACAGTTTAGATGTGAATTTAAATTTGAACAGCTGATCTTTCAGTTGAATGTTTAACCACAATCACATTGCAAACAAGAGACAAAACTAGTTTATGCTATTGGATTTAAAATAGGCTACTTTTAATTCCTCCCCCTATACCATAGTATATGGAAAAAGTATTGTTTTGGTCAAAATTTTCAAGTTTTTGAGTGAATATATCCGTTTTTGGCCCCCCTGAACCCAAAAAAGTGGTGTTCGAATTGATGTCTGTGTGTGTGTATGTATGTGTGGATGTGTACAGAGCTACATCGCCTAACCATAGAGGTTATTGATGTTGTAATATACACTACTGTGACATTGACTAACCATAGAGATTATTGATGTCGTAATATACATTACTGTGACATTGCCTAACCATAGAGGTTATTGACGTCATATATTCAGTACCTACTTTTACATCGCCTAACCATAGAGGTTATTGATATTGTAATATACACTACTATAACATTGACTAATCATAGAGGCTATTGATGTCGTAATATACACTACTATGACATTGCCTAACCATGGAGGTTATTGATGTCGTAATATACAGTACTGTGACATTGATTAACCATAGAGGTTATTGACGTCGTAATATACAGTACTGTAGGCCTACTGTACAGTACGTTACAGAAATTTTTTAATTTGTTTTGACAGTTACAAAGAAAGTGGGATCGGATCGAGAAGGTGCAGCAGGAGCAACAAAGTAGACTGGAACTGGAGATTTTCAAAGAAAAGGACGAGGATCTGTGGGTTGAGAAATACAAGCCTAAGAACTACTTGGAGCTTTTAAGTGATGAGGTAAGAATTTAAAATATTTATACATATTTTTTCTTATATAACAGTCTAAGAGGTTTGTGTTGTGACTGAAACCTCTCTCAATTTGTTTACCAATTTTGAAAAGATTGGCGTAATTCGATAGAGATTATGAGGTTGTTTCTGCCTAAAGTTAGAAATGTTGGACCTTACAATTAATTAAATAACATAATACCCCCGCCGCAGCAAACCTGCCGAATAAGCGAATTTCCATTTGTCTTAATTGATTTTCAATTAAATATATTTTAATAACATTAGGTTTAACGAGTACCTAGGTTTGCTGCTACAAGGAAACTAATAAAGTGTGTGTTTTTTGTAAAATATTGATAGCTTAGTACAAAATAAATAAATTTGATCAAAATACAAAATATATCCATAAACAAGCAAACTACAACATTTGACAATATTCTCCATAAGAATAACATGGGAATTTTAAATTTACATTTTTTTTAAATTTTCTCCGTTACTATTAACCGAACAAAAATACTTTTATATACTAAATTAATTGTTTTTTTAAGCTCTTTAAAAAGGTCTAAAGAGAAATTGGGAAATTTTGTGTTTTGAGGGTCAAAAGTTAGAAGAACCAATTTTTACCCCATAAAACCCCCCGTAAAGCCCCGTTCCCATGGTCCGATCATGCTGGTTCGCGAACTCATTCAAGTTTATCCCGCTTTACACCTTTAAACCAAATTTCATCAAAATCGGACAAAAATTACTCAAGTTATCGTGTTCACGGACGTATATCTATCTATATATCTAATTCCGTAAGCCCAAAATTTTACAATGAAATTGTGAGCGAACGAGAGGACGTAGAAAGCTGGGGGAGGTCTCATTTTAAAGGTCTCGGCATGAAATTTTGGGGAAAAATATTCATTTTTCTTAAATATCCACCAAAACGTTGTTACGGAATAAAATAATTCACATTTAAATAACATGGGAATCTAGGTCATGTCTGCTTTGTTTACATTAAAACATGTGGTTTAACTTCATTTAAAGCATATGATATGTATTATGTACTGTAATATGCATACTAACTTATTATAAATTTGAAATAGACGTTTTCCCAATTTTAAGGGTCTGGATTAGATAATGGAGTACGATTGGTTGTGTTAGGTATGTCTGAACAAAGTGTAAAGTTAGAAGTGATTACTGGAGTAGGCAAAGGAAACTTATTTTTCCATGCCAAAAATAAAACTAATTTCTATAGATCTTGATTAGTTTAAGTTTACAAGTATTCAATTCCCAATCATTTCGATTAGCTTTCAATATTACTTATTATTAAAGCAACGGACAAGGCCAAACCTTAACAAAACTCGGATTTAAAAAAAAAAAAAACAAAAAAAAACAGTGTTTACCCATGGTCAATTTTATGTTGCTTTTAGCCAGGTAAAGCGGCCAGATGATGTTAAAATAGTACTAGAATCAAATAAAGACGAAGGAATCGACTAAAATGGATAGCCTACCATGCAACAAATGTTGTTTTCAGAGAGATTTTGTTTATAAACAAAATACAAAATACAAAATACATTTTTCTGACATTGTAATTAGCATTTTACAATCTGGAGGATGACATTATCTCTATGTGTTTAATCTAAGTGAATTTGTCTATATTCAAAGAGATTTATATATATTTGATTGATTGTCATGAAGATTATAATTAAAAATGTTCTTTAGTTGTATTTATGATTAGAAAGTTTTTATAATACCGCATGAACAGTCTTTTGGAACTTTTATTTTAAACAGTGCAGACAACAATATGTATTATGCAGGTATGTAATAATACATATTATAATATACAAAAATGTTAAACGATAATTCAAGTTGACCCAATGGAGATCAACCCAATGGTTCAAGGTTCAACCCATGAGACAGGATATATAATATATATATAGGGGCTATTGCCCCTAAAAGCCACTAGTATATATGTATATACATATATATATATGTATATATATATATATATACATATATAAAAATTTGAACGAATAGTGTTTTTGGCCTCTGGGGACATCAAAATGAAAAAGTAAATCGGTCCCGGGTCTAGGTCTTACCGTGCCACCTACGGTAATAGCTACTTCCCTATAGGGAAATTCGCTAAAAAATAGTTAAAACAAATTTATTTTTATACAACCTGATCAGTTAAGAACTAATACATTCTGTAATAGGGTTTTCTTAAAAAAAAAATTGGCAAGGCTGCTTTTGAAATGTTTGGACTGTATTTTGTTCTTTAATTCTTGAGACAGTTTATTAAATAGTTTTTTGCCCATGTATGTCAGGTCTTTTTCTACTAATGAAAGACGATGCCGCGGATATTGAAAGTTAGTTTTAAATCTAGTATCATACCTATGCTCAACGTTTTCACTACATAATTTTTGAAAATTTCCTTCTACAATCAAAAGCTTTTTAAAAATTGTTAAACTCGGAACAGTCATTACACCTAATTCATGAAAAATTGGCTTACACGATGTTCTCCTTGGTGCAAATGTCATTATTCTTAAACATTTTTTCTGAATCTCAAAAATTAAATCAATGTTTGATGCGAAGCCCCAGAATTCAATTCCATATTGAATAATTAAATAGAAGTATGCATAGTATAACATCAAACAAGTTTTTAAGTCAATTGTGTTTCTTAAACATATCATTTGATAAGAAGCCGAATTCAGTCTACTAATTAAATTTTCAATGCTTTTGTTCCAATTTAAATTTACGTACAAAATTGTACGTACAGTTGTAGGTTCAGGATTATTATTGTATAATCCGCCATCAACAAGTAACATTGCCAAGTTACAAAGTTGCATTGGAGGAGTGCAAAACATCAGAGGACAACTTTAATGGAGTTGTTCCAATGTATCCCTGTAAAACTGTGAAGATATTTATTATATTTACTCAATAACAGAGCCAAAATATGAAACAGCAGTTCCAAAATATTAGTGCTGAACCATTAAGCAGTAAATGCAGTTACATATTTTGTCTCATTGTTCCAGGGCACCAATCGAGCGTTGTTACAATGGTTGAAACTTTGGGACAAAGTAGTGTTTGGCATTGAAAGAAAAGTCAAAGCGAAGCACAAAGATGATGGGAAACACAAAGGTATTAGTAATTATATTGTCACCGTTAGTTTTGACAAATCCTTATTTTAATGTTATACTCTTGAGTAACTTAGTGTTTTATTTTTTTCACCAATTAATTAATTGTCAGAAGAAAGAATTGCTTTATAAATTCAAATTTTCTTATGAGAAGAGGTGTTAAATGGTATAAGAGGTTTGAAAATAAACTCTGTATTTTAACACCAGTGGTTGTTTTCACAAAGACATAATCACTTGGCAGTCATTTCTGTATTTAATGATCAAAGTCTACTCTACTTGTCAATGTAATGGCACTATTATGGCTATAATAGTACTATTACACGTACTAGATGTGGAATAACTTGACAAAATAATGAATAGAGATTAAAAAAAAGAGTCACTCACTGCCCCATCTCTCTAGGTTAAATAGTCTTAGTTATAGACATTTTCAAGGCACCTTACACTCTTTAGGGTAAAAATGTTTTAAATCCAAACATTAATGTACAAATTAATATTTTGGAAAAACTATTTTTAGCAGTTGAAATGTTTGAATTGGCCCAATACTTAATTATGCAGAAATGACAATCAATGGTAACTCACGTTAAGAATATAAGGGGCGGAACTGGCTTGTAAGCATTTCCCAACGTCCACCTTTATCCTGAAATTGGGTCAGAAATGACTTTTGACCCGTCCCTTCCTGGTTTTTCCATTTCCCGTAGGCACCTTAATAGTTGCTTTAACATTTTTCATAGTCTAGCATATTTTGGGAGCGAGCTAGTGGTTTGAGCCCGGGACTCTGGTTCCTGGGGTACCGGGTTCAAATTCCGCGAAATCACCAATGGATTCTAAGTAATGTGAAAAACAATTCCGGGCTCATGCCTAGCGTCTTAGGACGAAAAAAAGTAGCACATTAGGCCTACATCTATTGTGTATGATCTTAAATCATTGTGTATGTGTGTTGTTACAGGCTACAACAAGTTTCAACGCAAGACAGGCCCCATAGTGAGTGATGAGCTGGACGAGCATGGTCGGCCGATACACAAGATAGCGTTGTTGTGTGGACCTCCAGGCCTTGGCAAGACTACTCTGGCGCATATGATAGCTCACCAAGCGGGTAAGTCACAAACTGAACCATGCCCTCGTGCCTGCACCCAGACTAACGAAAAGGAAGCGTGATCCATGCGCAGGCCCGAGGAGCGGCTCACAAAACTTTACTTAACAAAATGAGAACCATGGATGGAGGCTCAAGAACAACACGCCATTTGAGAGAAACGAGCTGTAATTAACCATTTAAAAGAATAACACAACAACAATAATTAACAATAATACATGAATTAAATACTCTCAATTAAACTTTAAAAAATTTTGATACCCGTTTACCCTACTAACTTACAATTATTTCATTAATCATTTTCAAATAGGCTAAATTTCAAAAATAAATCTTACTAGCTTTTACCTTTCAAAAAACTTTTAAATTAACAAATTACAACAATGATATATATAATGACTCTTATAATAAATTCATTTTATCTGGTAACTATAGAAACTTTAGGGGCCCCAAATTAGAATTCAAAAGAATATTTAATAAAATTATAAAATTTAAAAAAGATCAACAAGTAGCCTAAAGAATTAAAATTTAAAAAGAATAACAATTAATAAACTATGTATAGGCCTATAACAATAATAATTTCAAATAGTCTCTTGGGTTGCTTTTTTTTATAAATAAAATCAAAAAACATAACGACAGTGGGTAACTTGCGGTAGTGCGGTTGGGTTTTGGGCCAGGTCTAGAAGTTCAGCACCGGAGGGGGAACCAAGCAGGGCGGAGAGGGGGCCAAGGTCTACGAGGCAGCCATGAGTTACAAATTTCCTCCGCCAAGGTCGAAACGGTCCAGTGCATAGTCCTCCTCACGGGCCCTGAGTAACAAATCCAGAAACACAGTAGTACCAGGAGAGCTCAAGTCCATATCCGCAAAATTCACTGTCACACACATTTCACTATTTTCATTTAGTTCCAAACATTTCACTGAGCAGGCCTAACATATTTTTTCAGGGAAAAAACTCTAAATTTTTACAAGGTTTGTCTCTCTATCACAGCTCTTTAACAATATAAAACATTTTAAACAATAACAATAATTTAAACAACAATTAACAGGTGAAACAGTACAAGATCGGTAACATTAATACTTGCGGTAAAGGTGTCAGCAGGCTAGACGGGTATGTGACAGTGATAAATTTCACCAATAGAGAGAAAATATTTAAATTGTCTGGTCCAAAGTGGCCAGAAGAACAAGTTAACAATAAACAATTGACATCTAAACACAGAAAAATACTTTAAAATTGACAAAAAACGTTCCAAACAAGAATTTAGGCCTAACGCAACGACTCATGTATTTTTGCTAATTTCTCCAAAAGTTGTGAACAGAATTTGTTCGGAATGGTCTTAAAAGCTGGGGGAAATGTTCCAGCAGCTTCTCCAGACCATTCCAAACCTTAACTCAAAGCCTGAAACCAGTTGGCCTTTTGGTTACCCAGTTCAAACCTGAATGGAAAGTTGCCAAACTAAAAATTACTGTAACTTTCTTAAAACTTGAGTAAAATGACTCAAACTTTCTGGGGAGCTTTAAGAGCAGTTAATTCAACTTAATTTAACTAGTTTGGCAAGGACAAAGCAAAATAAAAGACTTTAACCTTACTTGACTGGGTAACACAAACTGAACATTTTACAAGACAAAACAACACTAAAAATTGTACGGGACACAGAAACAAAAGACTACCAGAAGTAGTAGCCTAAGACAATAACATTTACTGAGCAAAAATTGTAAGCCTAGGCCTACCACAAAACAGTCAGAAGGACCCAAAACTGACTTGGCAGTTTCTCTCAAATAGCGGCCTTCCAACAAGCATTTCTCAGTCAATTCTAGGCCTAGCATTTCGGGCAAAGCCCTGAATTATACCAAAACAACAGGGAAAAGGGAAACTAACTAACAAAAGGGTTCCACGACCCCAAGACTAGGTTCCAAACCTAGTGCAACCATGTGCAGCTAACCTAAATATAGAAAAATGTGCAAAAACTCACCCAAAAGGCGCGCGTGGCGCGATAAATTTACACCATTGCGTAGCAGAACAAAAGTAAAGAACAATTAACAAAACTGCTTTGCAAAAGGTAAAGCATGGAAACAGATGTTAAAGGATAAATTTGTTCTGAAAATCCTCTGCGAGGCAAACGGCTCTGACGTCGCTGAACCTATGAGTTGCTGGCGGAAAGAGTAAGAAAAACAAGACTCACAGCCTTGTTCGGGGTCGTGAAAGTGACAACGAAACACTGAACTAGCCTACTATAAAAAAAAACACTTGAACCATTGATCATGAGTCGTGACATTCGCCCGGTGGAAAAAGTCACGGCTCAAAACCAACAATGTTTCATATTATTGTGTTCGGAAAGAATTTGACAACCTTTGTGTAATTCTTACCTTGCAGACTCGAGACTTGTATTTGGATTATAACTTATCTTGATACTTTAAAAACTTTAAAATTAACTTTAATTACTTTAAAAATTCAAAATAATATTGAAATTGAATCACTGACAGAAAAATGTGTTCAAAACTCAAATATATCTTGTCTTTTCCTAAACAGTAATTAAAATACGGAGGTACACCTGATTGTTTTATAATGATAATGGTAACATGGGTGGTGTGGTCAGCAACTTTTCCTGTGTTGTATAGCAATCATTACAGCATTTTGGAAGTGTATCTTACAAGGGAAAAGAACTCGACCTTTTGAAATTGCATGCCATGGAATTGTAGCTCGTTGCGCTACCTACTTAGCCACCGAATCATAAAATTCTTTGCTTGCAAATGCCGACTGTACTGTGCTTAGATGTTAACAGTGGTGTCGGTGCTTTGCAGGTTACAACGTGGTGGAGGTGAACGCAAGTGATGACCGTAGTCCGGAGGTGTTCCGCACACAACTAGAGGCTGCCACTCAGATGAGAGCTGTGATGGGAGCTGAGCGGAGACCCAACTGTCTGGTGTTGGACGAGATAGACGGCGCACCCTCGGTAAGTGGTACTCACCATTGGATTGGCAAAGGATTAATAGGGGTGCTCCTCAGGAATCTGTTCTTGGCCCAATACTTTTCCCAATAAACATCAATGATATCACTGATCACATATTGAACTCACTACCATCTCTATGTTGATAACTTACAAAGTTTGTCCCACTTTAATGTCCACTACATGTATACTACTAGTCTCATTTATGAGCTCTGACTCATTAACTCATTGGCCTAAACAACAGCCATAATTTGCTAGCCCCAACTTCGCCTTATTTTTAATTTCCTTACAACACATAAAATGGCACAAACACAACAAACATGTACGAATGAAATGCACTAAGCTACAAAATAGTAAAGGTTATAATTTTATGTAGATTTTGCCCAGCACAGTAGCTAATTGGTAGCCATGATTTGCTGGTTCAAGACTGGCTGCCTGCACCACTGAGTCACAACTTGTTTGCCTTTTGATTTATACCATAACGATACTTCATTATGTTTAAAGACCACTGCACAAATTTTGACGGTAAGTTTCGATGCCTTAACAAACAAGGTTAGGCACCACAACATGAAGTGTGAGGTATTACTTGATGAGTAATATAACATCTTGGACTGTAGACTAACGAGTCTACCATGTTATTTGTTACTGACTAGAAATTCTTTTACCATGCAGACGAGCATTGATGTACTTCTCAAGTTTGCTCTGGGGAAGGGATCGTTGCGCGGAAAGGGAGCGAAGGCTAAGAAAGCAGCTGGAGGAGATAAAACTAACATTTTGAAGCGACCAATCATCTGCATCTGCAACGACGTGTATGTTCCTGCGCTGCGGCCTCTGCGACAAGCTGCGTTTGTGGTGCACTTTCCCCCCACCTCCACTGCAAGGTGAGGATAAGAGTGAAGTTTGGTGAGTGGTTAGTATTATTATATACCTTTGACTATTGATAGAAAGTCATTCTATTCCCATGTTAAAGCTGCAGTCACATTAAATGACCATAGTTGGATTGAGTGGACACAGTGTGCTGATGTGAAGTATACTACTGATTTCTCCTACGCTAACCATCCAACCTAGCTGGATTTCCCAGATTATGGGCTGTTGCATCCGTCGATGGTCCCCAAATTCTACAGAACTTGCCTGAACTCAAAGGCTTTTATAGTGTAACAAAAATCCCTCAGAAATTAATTTTGGATTAGTTGGTATTAACTGCAATTAGTGTTACTTAGTAAGGTAGATTTTGTTGACATTTCAAAATAGTTATGATAAACTGTCAATTAACTTCTAGAATTAGTTCTGATTTAAATGGAATGGAGAAAATACCTAGCGACTGAAGAATACTGAAACTCCCAGTGTTTGTATATGTTCTATGGTTATTATAAACCTATAACAATGTGCTGTGGCGGGGTATTTGATTATAGCAGTGAATGGACATCGTATGTTGCTGTTCTTCCGTGTTTAAAAAACTTATGGTTATTTAAAAAAAAATTGGCCTTTTCCGTTAAAATGACGGGATTTTATAAGTCTTTAAATACTTTCCCATATTAAAAAAATGGGGAAAAAAGTGGATCTTTTACGTTAGTAGTAATAAATAATGGTTTAAATACCTTTGACAGTAAATACTGTTCTGTTAATACTACTGTTCAATGAAATGGCGACCATACATAGTAGGTATTTTAAGCCAAGTATGAATGAAGATGAGTGTAGGATGAGTGGCGCGATCTTGTAGTCTTGTTAGTGACTAAGGCCGACATTCCTTAGACACAGCTGTTAATTAATAGCCCATACAGATAATGGCAACTAAGGGACCTACAGTTTATAGTGGAAGCCGAACCACATTTTTCCTTGGTAGATATATACAAATTGGTCTAATTATCAGGATAGTACTGTGGATAGTTGTAGTACTCACTCGTGCGGACGTTAATCCACACCAGTAAGTATCGCATCCACAGTGCATGCCTCCTATAAATATCCACAATTCGTTACCTCCTAGTAGCTGGATTACAGGACGACGCCACCCGTCCCAGTCATTTATTTAAACCATTATTTATTACTATACCAGTGATCTGGAGGGGTTGAGTCGAAGACGCCAGCGAATCGACGAAGCACGGTCTAGCGGCACATCGCAAAACCTTCCTTTGTCAGTCTATTTAATTCCTTCTATGCTGTTGTTCACTAGGCTGGCTCAGAGATTGTGTGAGATCACACGGCAGCAGCATCTGAAGACGGATCTTGGCGCCATGATGGCACTGAGTGAGAAGACCAACAATGATATCAGAGCCTGCCTGGGACTACTGCAGTGTCTCAAGACACAGGTTAGTCTCTAAGTTCTACTTACATAGTAGGAGTTAGTTACAATGCTCAAATGTGATTTTATGATTTAAATCAAAATATTTAACCCACCATCAGTTGTATTGTTCGGACAGGTTGCGCCTGACAAAAACCGTACTTATTCCTACACCCATGCGAATCTAACTTGAGATATTTGAAAATGAGCCAAAAATCACCCTTTCCATGTTTTACAAATTCTGCGTGTGTAAAAAATATTGCACAATATCTTTAAAACATTTTCTTTACGAATCTCATACCGTGTTCGTTTCCAGTGGGCTGATCCTTGTGTTCTCCACATCCATTTGTATTGTTGACCAAGGGGGCTGAGCCACCCTCCGAATTTTTTTTTCTTTTGAGTTGGTCACGGGCAATATTGGCTTGTAAGCGCCATATTATTAATCTACAAGTTGAGTGTAGTTTTGTTAGCTTGATTTATTTTATTAAAATTACGACAGGCAGATTAATAGTAGTTTGGGCAACTTGTTTAAAGATTTCAGAATAGTAAATGGTAACTTTTAGTGGTAATACTACCAGACTATTCTCTGCTTTAGAGCCTCCAGAGTGTTATAAACTGCAATTTAGCACCTTAAGATACAAACATTTTTCCTCCTGCCCTCTGCGGGGTATTACCTTCTAGGCCCTTCGGTTCGGCCCCCCCCCCCCCAAATCAAACTCCTGGCTACGCCACTGTGTATACATGACTATTATTAATCAAGTAAAGAGTATTTTCTGCTGTTGGTGATCGATCAAACCCAGGATAAGCGTAATGCTCAACGCAAAAACAGATTTAAAACTGTGCACTACCACAAATACCAGATGGTGCATAACTCCAACTATCCTAATCAATCGGGACCATAGTATGTTCGGATGATCAAAAATTCAGATAGTTGGACTTATAATTATACAAAAATTTGGAATATTTAACAAATAATAATATTTTATGCATCCCAGAACGTGTATCAACACGATTGAATTGAAAAATTTTGCTAATGAAAAATTCACACTTTTGCTGCAATTGCAGAGAATGATTTTACGTGAAGGCAGGAGACGTTGATCTTGTCCACATGACTGCGGGAGATATTCTTCAAGATTTCTGGAAGGGAAACGATGATGATGTTTCTATGGCCGAGGTGAACAATGATCAAGGCTACATGGCTGTGGGGTATATTTTACATTTTGGCACGATTACAAAAGACGATAATGATGTTTCCGTGACTGTGGGAGACGATGATGACTTCTGCAAGACTGCAGAAGGTGTGCCAGATTTTGCCGTAAACAATGACTAGGTATGTTTTCGTGGCTGCGGGAAACAACGAAAAAAGGGCAATAGGCTTCTGCCCCGTTACAACAACTCATATTACTGTGGTTTTAGGTTTTTAAATGAAATATTTCTGTGATTCTGATGATCGGCGATTCGGATAGTTGGAGTTCTACAGTATTTACAATTATCTTCTTAATTCTGTTGCAGGCGACCAATGGTCAAGAAGCAACCGTGAGGTTATCACAGATCCATGCTGCTACTATTGGAGAAAAAGATATGCAGAAAGGACTGTTTACTGTGTGGCAGGAAATATTTCAGATACCTAAACCAAAGAGGTAATTGAGTGAATGATGACATTACACATTTTGTAAAAGTTTTTAGGTATTTGTTTTTAATAAGAAAGATGTTCTAGTAAGAACTGTAGTAGGAGTGTAAGATTATTTTGAGAAAAAACATATTTCAAGTCATATTGTCCTTTCAAATTAGTGAACCATATATTTTACTTCTAAGACCTATGTAACCACACTGGTTTTAAACTCATTTCAAGTTGAATATACCTACAGTAACTAATGCAATGCATAATTTTCAACCAGACAAATCCTTCCGTTATATTTGACCTTGATTGCAATCTGATTTAATTACTTATTTAGTTGTAAAAAGTGCTTTGTAATTTTTAATAGAAAGACTTTTGTGGAGACGGTGTCCCGAGATGCAGCCAAAGCAGCGCTGGACTTGGATTCTTGCAATACCAAGACATCAACGTCCACCCTCTCTGAAAGGTCTGAAACTGTATAAACTCTGTGGATACTTCGTTAAATGGTTCAGATTTTGTTACACCTCAGACAATAAGTTAATTTACTTTAAACATTCCACCAATAAAAACTGATTGATCTATCCTTCGTAGTTTTAGTTAGGCTAATGGTTATAGTGCTTGTCTTAAAATCTCTACGCCACTGGCCTGATTTCAAGCTAGAAGATCCTGGACTCAGATGCCATTTGTTCATAATGTAATCTAAGGTCGACATAAGATAGTAACAAGACCAGGGTTTGAAGTGTTTCTTTCAAAAAAATTCAAACAAGCCACAAGCCATAAAGGTAGATAAACCCAAACAGCCATTATAGATTTTTTGAATATTTTTCATTATACATATTCAAGTTTTGTATTCCCTATTTAGTGTTGAGCCAACTTTGTTGAGTTATTATAGGTTTAAAACTGTTATACGTTTTCAGGATACGTTCAGTGTTGAAGACAGTTCAGGGTTGTGGGGATTACGATCGTCTAGCTCAGGGAGTGTTTGAAAACTACCTCAACATGAAGTCAAAAGACTCAACTATGGTTTCGGTGAGTGATTCAAACTCATTACTCTTTTCAGTCTTTTCCCATTTCTTTATTAAATCACATTAGAAATATTTTTTGTCGTACTTTTACTTAGTTTTATCATGGCTCCAGGGTTTTTACGTTTAAACTGTGAAATTTCAATATATCAGTTGTAAGGACAATAATGATGACTTCAATCCTGTATCAAAGTCAAAGTTTAAGACAATCTTAAAATGTAGTCACTGGAGGAAATAGTTAAAACATGTTTTTTATTGTAATAACAAGTGGTAAGCCTATAAAAGAATTTTAGAATATTGGTTTAATCATAGTTAATATTATTTTGATAATTATCAAATGTTTAATGATTTATTGAAATCTATTTGCAATTAGGTATTTGCAAGAGCTACCTATTAAGATAAACCACAAAAATGTGTATCCAATGCTTATCCTAAATCTAAACCGAGAAATATAGAACATTGTATTATGGCTTGAAGTAAATGGTTGGAATTACATTTACAGTTAAGCTTTAAAGAGAAAATTCACCTAAGGACGAATCCGCTTGAAACTGGTTCATCTAAATGTCTGCAGGACAGGTGGATTTTTTCTATTTTTAAGAGGTTGGCGACTTCTTTACCTTGAATTTTCCCGTCGACATGAGCCACAAAGGTCTGTTCGTGGAACACATTAAGTAAAGCAAGGAGTGAGCCGGTGTCATAATGTGTTATAGAATGGAAGTTTTCTTTACGCTTGTTGCAGTGGTACCACTTGTTTTTGTTAGAAATAAAAATTACGTCTGCTATGATTTTTTTAAATTACATCTTTTACGATTGAGCAACGAAACATGGCGTTCGCAAGTTAGCGCGTTTTTTTTCATTAAAATGTAACTCATTATAAGATCAATATACTTATGTTATAAGGTTCATTCTTATAATAAAATGAAACTTCAGAATCTCATCTTTCCATTGGTATAAGAGTTATGTCAATTTTAACAACTATAACTGTGCGTAACATGCAACGGAAAAAAAGTTACCCTAATCGACAAATTTTGTCGCCGCCACTCCAGCAACACATTATGAAATCAACATTTTTGTCGATTAGCCATCCTAGGTTTAAGTTATAACTAAATTATGCATGTCATATTGAAGGGTTTTCAATGTAGTACGATAGTTGAACGTTTTTTTAACTCTTGTCCAGATATCCAGTGGATTAAGTTGGTTCTGCACGTTTGACTTGATGTCCACCAAGATCCACACCACGCAGAACTACGTATTGTACCCATATCTGGCGTATCCGTTTGTCATCTGGCACTTGCTGTTTGCTAGTCTCACCTGGCCCAAGCTCGCCTATCCCAGCACTGGTTACGAGGTGAGATTGGATATTTATAGGCATGCACTGTGGATGCGATACTCCCTGGTGTGGATTAACGTCCGCACGGGTGTGTACTACGCTATCCGCAGTACTATCCTGATAATTAGACCAATTCGTATGTACCAAGGAAAAAAAGTGGTTCAGATTCCACTATAAACTGTAGGTCCCTTAGTCGCCATTAGCTGTATGGGCTATTAATTAACAGCTGTGTCTAAGGAATATGTCGGCCTTAGTCACTAACAAGACTAGCAAGACTACAAGATCGCGCCACTCATCCTACACTCATCTCCATTCATACTTGGCTTAAAATACCTACTTTGTATGGTCGCCATTTCAAAGAAAAGTATTTAAAAAGTATTTAGAGAAATATACAACATCAAGTAGAAATAAACACACTGTACACTGCCCTTCACTGGAAGTTGCCTAATGCCTAGGTCAGATAACTGTAAAAGTTGGTGTTGCCTATGAAGGCGTTTTAAATAAGTGGATTGTATTTTACTTTTTAGCGAATCTTCAATTTAGTTTTGGGTTCCAAATTACACGGACTTTTATTTAATTTTGACACAGATTAGTTATTGACAACAATGAAGTTCTTGGAGGTCTTGAATTGCGTTATGGTTTTCACGAGATGTTTTTTATTTAGGCCTAACTGTAACTGTTTTGAGCTAGTTAAATTTTCTGACACACTATATTGCACACAATAAATTTAGTTATAAATTTAAAGAGTTGAATTGACTTAAACAATAAGAATAGAGAATGTTAAAAGTGTGTGAATAAGAGGAGAGAATAAAAACTATATCAAACAAATGATGTTACAAGACGATATGCACATGGTAATGTTTATTTTATAAATTGTATTGTTGCCTTTTGTTGGCCATATGAGGATTGTGCAATTGACTCTCTCTTTCTCTGCCAGCTGGCCTATATTTAATGAATACTGAACAGTTGGCTTAAAGGGGAACCATGCAAACATGTAGAAATAAATGTGTTACCTACTGAGATATCCATATCTTACAGATAAAACACTCAGCTGTACCATAGATAAAGCATACTCCCTTGGTAGATTTCTCATTCTTATGGAACAACTGAAGCCAATTTTATTGTTAGTTCTGTCTGGTGCTCTGTAGAGGTCGTGTTTTGTTTACAATTTGTTTCTTGTTATTTGAGTTATTTAAAACCTCGTTTAACCAAATAAAATTATCTAATCATAAACAATAACTCGTCTCCTAGTTAAAAAAACCAAACAGTAAACCCAAAATCATCAAACTAACCCTAAAATAATAGAAACAAAATTTTGTCAACAGTAGCATTAAGTGTCACCGGACAAAAACTAGACATGAAAAACGAGCTTCAAATGTACAATGGGATGAGAAGTCTACTTATGTTGGTTAGTCTATGTCTGTGCATATCAATGCTTAGTTTTGTAATGTTTTCTTATAAAACATAGACTTACACTTAAGTAACAATGAACGATGCAAAATTATTGTGTTGGTGACATGATTGTACCAATATGCTGTGTCGAAAAAGACAGTTTGAAATGGGTATAATTTGTGAGAAAAAAACCATACACAAAGTTAAATTTTTACCACACACATATTTGCAATAAAATCACTAACCCAATTAATTATGTACAAAACAAAACACGCAACACACTAAAACTAAATTGAAAAAAGTTAGGTTCACAACCAAATTAGTCCTGCATAGACAAGATGCCATATTATTACTATGACAAGGAAGGGAACGATAGTCTCTATACTCCGCGCCAAAGCTGGTGGCGGCTGATTTAATCAGTCAAATATTATAAAAGTAACTGCAAATGTGTAGTCTACAAAGAATTACAAGAAAATTAAGTCTAAACACGATGTAACTGCGACATTGTAAAGTATTTGGTTTAACAGATAACATATTTCAAGTTTTCACTTTTCATACTTCTAAAAAAAGCCTTGTAGACTTTTTACTAGGTTATTATTGTGTTCTGACAATTTGCACTACCAGTTCGGTTTGAGTTGCGATTCGCTTTTATAAAGAAATATAATTATTTAGGATTTTTTTGTATTTTTATAAGACACACTTCTACCCTATATAGACAACCTGAAATCAGATGACTCACTGGGTGGCATGACTCACATTCCTTGTTGTTTGTTTCCAATACCTTCCCCCGGTCCAAAGGTTAACTATGACTTGTTTTCAGTCAGTCCCTAAACAGTTTATGTCCTGATCAGTTCGTGTTCATAGTTCGGTGCTTCGTGGTGTTAAAGTTTGTGCTGTTAAACTGTGAAATAATATATAACTGTGATGAGGAAGTTTTAGGTTTATATTTTTTTGTCGTATAAGTGTTAATAATGTGTTCAGAGGTACTCCATACGCAGGCACGTTCAATTGTTGGAGCTGTTATTGAATATTTTTATGAAGAAAGAAATAATTTGGGACCTCTGAAAGATGTTAAAAAAGTTTTAGAACGAGTGGCTGATGCGACTAAAGTGTCAAAATGGACCGTAGAAAGAATAATTGCTCAACTACGTGAATAAACCAAATACTTTACAATGTCGCAGTTACATCGTGTTTGGACTTAATTTTCTTGTAATTCTTTGTAGACTACAAATATGCAGTTACTTTTATAATATTTGACTAATTAAATAAGCTGTATCGATTGCACTTATAACCCAGTAGGGGTTATAATTACCAAGGCCCGAAGCGGTCGAGCTCGGTCTAATTGGGGGTAGGCTCACCGACCAGGCCGTCCTAATCCCTCAGCCGCCACCAGCTTTGGCGCGCAGTATAGATTCCTATAAATGGTCAAATAAAACAACCAGTTTTAAAATCTATGGCAAATAAACCGTCCTCTGACGTTTGTTCGAGTAAAGGTGGTTAATCCGAGCGACAATGGTATGTTAAAAGATGGATCAATTAAAAAATCAATCTACTGTAGGGCACACATTAATATTGATCACTTGAGTCAAGCAAGTAATTGAAGGTCACAGAGACCATGGAAAAGAGAGTGATATGAATAGGGGGTTACAAAGGTTAGGGAAGTCACTTACACACATTTATTCAGGCCTTAAAACACATTGTCGGAGAATAGTCGATTTTATTTGTTGTTAAAAACCATACATGTTAGAAAAAGTTGTTTTTGCAGAAGGTCACTGATTTATTAGTAAGAAACAAAGATCAGTATCACTAACATAGCTAATCATGGTGTGGCTAATGTTACCTAGGTACTTACCTAGGTAATGGAAATATCCGTGTAATAAAGGCAATACAAAGAAGTTTTGTCAACGTTAATTGGTGTGATGAAATATTAATTGACACAGTTTGTTGTTTGTCTCATCACATCACAGGCTGTGAATATTTTAGCTGTCATTAGCGAGCTGACTGCGTTGCTATTCACGGGAGTTATGTTAATTTACCTTTATAAGAAAGGTTCTCGCTCCTTACCGGCTAATGGGAAACTTCTCGTTTACGGGGGTCAAAAGGCGCTTCAGATTTTGAACTTCCTTCATGATGCGCTTAACTAATTTTGTTTCAAAATACGTTGGTAGATTTTTAATATGTATATTTATTTATAGCCTCTTTTTTATTCGTTCAAGAAATTGAATTTTATTTTATTATTTATACTTATAGATTTTAGTTCCTCAATTTATCTATCTACTTTTTGTCATTTTTAGACCCTATTGTCACCTTTACTGTTTTACTTAATTTATAGCATATTATTTGTTGGCAATTTCCTTCTTTTTTATTTGGATATGAACAGATCCAGCCAGTCAACAACGGAAGGGCTGCTTTCGAATTTTATTGCTTGCTACAGCCAACTGAGAAAACTTTGACATAGTAGACCTGCATTTTTGGGCGATCTGGAGACATAAATCAGATAAAAATTCAAACCTTACCATGTCTCTTTCTTTCTTATTTTATTTTTTTTTGTTCAATATTTTACTCAAAAGACGGGGGCTGTAGCTAACTTTTAAAGTCTCTCTGGATTTGTGTCTAGATGTCTGTTAGACTACAGAAGTGTACCCAGCTAGTAGATGAGGTACTCAAGTCTATGGTGGCGTCAGTGAGAGCCTACACATACAGAGAACAGCTCATACAAGACACACTACCTCTCCTGCTAGAGATCATTGTACCTGTGCTTCGGCCTGTGAGTATTTACTTTTACTTGTCTCTTGAAGCCTTTTTATACTTCTCCTCCCTAGTCTCTGGGAGTCTTATTTATTTTTGTATAGGTTCACAAGAGGCTTGGTTTTCAAGCTGAGCAAAAAGTGTAGTCTAAAAACACGAGTGATCAAGCACCAAGTCAGATCCAATGGGAGCTTTTATCCTTACAATATTATTGCGTTTGCCGAAAGTGTCTGCAAAGACTTCATGATCAAAAATCCCAATGTTGCCGTTACCGTGGGAGACTATGAAGTTGTGTCTATGACTGGGGAAGAAGAAGAAGTGCACAAATTGTCTGCAATTGCTGAAGATTTTCTAAAGCTTCACTCAAACTCAGATTGATTAAAAATCAAAGGCCCCCTCGGTTTTAGATTTACATTCTAGTAAATAAAATCTTGTGTCTTTACCGATATAAGTAATAATCGGCCAGCAAGCTGAAAAAAATGTAAATACACATTTACCAAATACGTTTGAAAAGCCACCATTCCATTGTGCCATTAAAAAACCTTTTTGGTAAGGGCACAAATCAAAGTGTTATTGCAAATAATATTTTTTTTTCAGTGTGCAAATTGCATTTAGACTATCAAATGTAGGATTTGTCCTAGATAGTGATGTAAAATACCCTGGGTATTTACCCGGGTAAATACCCAAAATCCATAAATACCCGGGTATTTTGGGTATTTATGAAATCGATTGAAATTCATTTATATTCACCCCTAAATATGTTATTGTTATCATTACATGAAAAATTAAGATAGTCTATAACACCTTTTACAGTAACTTGATGCTTTGCTAGTACCTTTTATTTAATGATTTAGCACTTTTTTTTAAATAAAACATAAAGTTTTTAAAAAAGAATGGGGTTTCGTTTTTTACTAAGACAACACCTCATCAGAGAAATAGTGAACCTAAACCTACTTCTACTGTTATTAAATTATGATAGTTAAAAATTTTTATCGTATAAATGGCTTGGAAGGCTAGACAGACCTAATATTTAAGGCAGAATGGCAGAATACTAAAAGTAATTAAACTTTTCTGTGTTACCGCTTAGTTGGAAAATAATATATTTGGATAAACCTACTAAAAAATTAATCTCCTGTTTTTTGGTCTAACTTAATATAATTTTGAAAGATTTATATTACTGTAGATTTTAATGTTTTGTATCACAAGTTTATGAAATTAGTTTTTTTTTATTTTGATACCATTAATACCAACAAAAGATCTAGAACAAAAATATTATTAAATCCTGCCATCCTACAGATTGAATTTTAATTATTTTCTTAAGTTATTTACACGCCTAGGCCACTACTAGGTTAAATTTTCATGTATTTATAAATAATAATTATTACTTTGCAAATTATTTTTCTTCACTTTCAATAAAATAGATTCATCTATCTATCATAGAAATTAAAAAATCATAAGTAGGCAGGACTTGTGCAACCATGCGACCAAAGTATTTATGCTGATTATGCTTTATGCTCAGACCTGGGTATTTATGGCGATTGTACCCAGAAGTAAAATGCTAGTAGGGACCATATGAAATTTTGTTTAACACATTTTATCATCATTTTACTATCCTTACAGGGTGATAATTGCAAAAAGACATCTCAATCTTCTCTAACTTTAATAAAAATTATAAATACCCAGTTTTTGGGTATTTACCCGGGCCTGGGGTAAATTCCCGGGTAAATACCCAATTTATATTTACCTACCCACTGGGTATTTACCCGGCCCACATCACTAGTCCTAGATACTAAATTCATGATTAGCAGCGTATTTATTCCTAAAATAATAATTGGGTGTTATATATATTACTTTACATGATGTAGCAGCTCAAATAAAAATCAACCTTTTTATTTTTATTTTTATTTTTTAATTTTTTTATATTTAAAGGCTAGGATCTTCTCAAAGAGAAGCAAGTGGGAGGGCTTAGGAGTGTCTCTTGTGCTAGGATCTACTATTAAAATGTTCAAAAGAACAAATAACTTCCTCTCAAGCTGAAAAAAATATACAGCTTTGTCCTGCAAATTAAGCATTTTACAAAAATACGTTTGCCGTAGGTGAGCCTGACTCTGTACAACAGCAAGGAGAAGGCAGAGATGAGCCATGTGATCAGTGTCATGATTGACTACAACTTGACCTACACTCAGGAGAGAACTGCTGATGGCAGCTTCCACTTCAACTTGGATCCGTAAGTTGTCAAAATAACAGATGTGCCACTTCACTTAGTTGAGTGAGGGAAAGCGATTCAAACCCCTCATATCTTCCTCGATGTGTTGAGGATTGTACCTGTCTCTCTCCACCAAGTCTGAGAAACTAGCTAAGATAACCAATTTTATTTTCAAGTTATCCATTACATTTTCAATTTTAAGTGGTATACTAAGGAAGGCATGATGAAAGTGGTTTACTCATAGAATTGGCCCAATGATTGTCCTGTTTTATACCCACAGTCAGCTTGCATCAACTTGAGGTTATTATAAACCCTACGCTTTTTCAACTTCATCATTTTTGTTAATATTGTTTTTTGTTGAATATAAAGTGATTTATCCCAAGCGTTTCTTTATTGCAGCAATGTAGAGGAGGTAAGCCGGTTTGAAGGAGTTAAGGGTCGCACGCTGAGCTACGCCGTGAGACAACTGATGTCTCGTGAGATAGAGCTAGAGAAGCTGCGTAGAGCCGAGGCCAGCTTGTACCGAGACAGTACTCCTGCCATGTCAGATACTACTGTCTCTGCAAGCCCATCAAAGAGGAAGCTACCTTCTACACCCAAAGGTAATACTCAACTTAAGACTTAAAAGTTAAATACTTTGTATGTTTTTAAATGATCAGTTAGATATTAGAAGTTAATATTGATTGAAGGATGGTCAACAAATATTTGTTAGGATACCAGCCTACATGAATTCCAAAGTGCTCACTTTGGAGGACTATTTCCTATTCAAGTATTCTATCCTTACACAAATCCTTACATCTCAGATCCTAATGTTCTATGAAAAACTTAAATCCTTTTTCAGGTGCCGGGAAGAAAGCTCTACCAAACCATTTACAAAGGCTGACACCAAAGGCAGTAAACAAACCTGAAGACTTGGTAAGTTATATTTTTAACTTTTGCAATCTTAAGTAAGTTAGATGGATTTATTCGCCCGTAGTAGTAAAAGAAGGGGTGGTATCATGCTTGAAACGCTCATGCAAAAGTTGAAGGCTTACTGTTATTAGGCTTATTTTTTTTGGCTCACATTCTAGAAACAGATCACCTTTCCGACAGAGAAAATGGAAAAGTCATGGAAAACTTGAGGACGTAGATAGTAATTTTTAGTGGACAGGTTGGCAGCAGGTGGCACTTTCTGATGTCCATTGCCCACTCTGGCTTGTTTTCTTGGTTGTGAGTCATGGACAGAGGTAGAGGTCCTACAAAAGGCACAACTCAGGGGAGGTGGCAGTGGTCCACTATTCCGAAGAGAGACACTATTCCGAAAGCTTCAGCATACCGCACTGTGTTTGAGTTAGCTATCCTTGTACTTGCAGGTGTGGTTCCCGTTGATCTCCTTACTTTTGAGCAGAAGCAAATTTTTGTTGGGAACTGTACTTTGAGTCTTACTGAAACCCGAGAATGCACTACAGGATTGATGACAAGAGAGGGGTTTGATTGGTAAAACTCATCGAGGATTTCCAAAGGTGGGTTGAGTGAAAGCTAGGAGAGCTAAATTCCCATCTCACCCAGCTCTTCACCAGACACGACTGTTTCAGGGCTTACATCCACAATGTAGAAAACTCAACAAGCCCGGAATATCAGTACGGTGACTCTGACATACCTTCTTCCATTGTATGAGTTGGGAAGCGGTCAGAAGGGACCTCAAAAAAATTGATTGAACCAGTTATAGAGTAACCTAATGTCAAAATTAGCTCTTTTAGTCAGCAAAAAGTTTACCTTAAGGTGTGTTTGGTTAAAAAGTAGGTGTATATGACAGAAATCGGTTTCTTAATTGCAGCTCATCTCGGTTCAATTCAGCTAGTTTCTGTGCTATTTAAGTTGCTATAGCTTTAACATTGGAATGGAATTTTAAGTTCTATCCATAATGCTATCAGTATCAACTATAATTTTACCAATATTTTATACATAAAATATGTATACTTTTATTTACACTTTTAAAATGGGCCTCAGTTATTAAATATTGTAAACGTGTTAAAAAATCTGTTACACTTTAAATTTAATATTTTAACCAAACCCCAAATTCAGCAGTTCATACCAAAGTGACTCACTGTGTGAATTTCAAATGCAGTAAATTCAGCTCACATGGCGGTTTTCGGTAATTGTTTGACCTGTGTTTGAGTGCAGCATAACAGATTCACCACCAATAATGAAGAGCCAGACAAGATCAGTAGACCGTAGCTGAATATACAATGGATTGATTGCTTTTGGTACAGTGATATCTTTGACTATTGATGAAACTAGACATATATCATCCATAGATTAAACAAATCCCCAGTTTTATGATGAACGTGGACGTAGTTGACTTGAGCAGTCGATGAAAAGCACTGGTGTAAATTGCTGATTTCAATGGTAACTTGTCATATAAGTCAAACTGTTACAACTTATTGTAACCTATAACAACTTTTACAGTTGTTATAATCCAGAGAAACTATTTCTTAAATTTATGGTTTAAAGAAAAGTACAGAATTATTAGGTATTTTAAAGTTGTAAAATAGTATAATTTTACCAAGTGATGGTTATGGTATATAGTACCATTAGGCCCAGCGCACAAGGTGTGACTGTTTTACAACTTTTGCAACTGTTTTGAGACCTCAGCAATGTATTGCAGTGGGGAGGCGCACACAACGCAACTGGTTGTATGCGATTTCAAAAAAAGTTTGAAACCAGTCACATACAACCGTGGGCCCGACGTTGCAGTTGCGTTGCAGACTTCAGTTGCACGAGACCACGGGGCGTTTTTGTGGTGTTTGGTGGTATTTTGGTGGTATTTTGACAGCCGTATAGTGTTTTTAGTGTTTATAATTTCCTATCCGACTAGCTCTAGCTGCTACAAACAGCCTAGGACTAACATTCTTGCTCAAATAAGGGTGAACCCAATGCTCTCTCAGTACCCTTCGCCGTCTTCGGTATTGATAATAGCTAATAACGTCTTCTTCGTCTTAGTCTGACATAGTAAGCGCACTTAAGGCTTTAAAACAACGTAACTGCACTAAATTGACACTCCACTGATTGCACAATAGACACAACTGTAGTTGTAAAACAGTCACACCGTGTGCGGACAGAAGTTTTGTTTCAGTTGCAAACTGGTTCCAGATGTAACTGGTTTGCAACAGTTGTTGTAAAACAGTCACACCGTGTGCGCTGGGCCTTAATTTGGAACAAAAATATCATGTTATTAATGTGTTCTAATGTCTCTTTATGTGTATAACTAGCTTGTGCCATGGCTTTGCCTGTGATCGTATAACCATAAATATTATACCGCATAAGAAATAAACAGAGTATTACAATCATTACAATAATTATCTAGTGGTTTCGCCAACGATCACAAAAATAAGATATTATCATTATTCATTGCATCACACAGAATTTAAAAACTAAATGAAAAGCATTTAATCTCGGACTAAAATAACTTACAACATAAAATCTTGAAACTGAAAATGCCACGACTCTTCAGCTTCTCCAACTATAGTTCTTTCATAGCTATATCGGCTCTAAAGGTAAAGAAACTTTTCCACCAGAACAACACGTTCAAGCAGGCTCATCATTCCATTTTAATGCTCTGCAATGTATACACTCTCTGTCCATTCAATTTATTTTTAATAATATGTATTGTCTATAGTCTATTGTTGCTTGATATTCCGTTGCATCATTTCCAAACATGCACCAAGTATCGAAGTATATCTGTTGAATGCTTGTCGCCAATTATTAAATTAAAACAAAAACCAGGAAAACAAAGATTTCGGAATAAAGCATTGATTATAAAATCAGATAGATGATAAAGCAATTTTTCAAACTATATTTATAATTTGACATATCTGCTGCCATTATTATGTATAGATAGGTGCCTGCCACAAACCGCCATGGAATTAGTAGCGCTAGAAATATTTATATTTGTTCAAAAGAAAAAAAAATTTAATTTTGTTTGTTAATTTTTGTACGACGGCGTAGAAGGGCCATGGAGTAACCAAAACGGCACACGTTTCACTGATGTCACTTTGAGGGAACACCATTACCGCAACGATACGGCTATGAGCCATCGGCCTCGGTGGTGTAGTAGATAGCGTGTCGTACTGATAATTCGAACCGGGTTTGAATCCCGCTGGTAGCACTAACTTTTTGTCAACAATTTTTTTCATATCAGCAAGTTTGATTGGTTTGGTTAGGTTATGACAGTTTAATTTTATAATAAAAAAATGATAAAATTAAATTGTAGGCATTTATAATTTTATTTTATGAAAAAAACTATTTTTTAGATTAGTAAACCTTCATTCGATTTTTTCATTATCAGCACGTTTGGTTAGGTTATGACAGTTTAATTTAATAATAGAAAAATTATAAAATTGTCTGTTTCTTCAGACGCAGCAGTTAGTGACGTCAGCAGTTAATGATGTCAAACGGCACCTGAGAAATCTTCCGTGTGCCCCACCGATGGAGTAACATTTTTTTTTTTTTATTCTGACTTTAATTTTAAATTTTTTACTTTTATTCTCAAAATTTTGACTTTTAATCTCTAAATTCTGACTTTTAATCTCAAAATTTTTACTTTTAATCTCAAAATTTTGACTTTTAATCTCAAAGATGTAGTTATTTTTTACAATTACAACCAACCGAGAGAGTATCACCAACATAACGGCACAAGCGGCTATCTTGGATGGCACGCTTTTCTCTTATGTTCAACCAGAGAGTAGTGACTCCAGTCATCCATTCATCTCTTCTCTATGGTTATATTAGGCCTACTTACGGAGTTTGGTGGTAATTTAACACTCAAAACCAGATGATTTAAACAGTAATTGAGCTCCAGTTGTAAAAGCGCTTGCAATAAATACGACGTTGTAGAATTCAATGAATTTTGAGATAGAAGTCAACATTTTGGGTCAAAACTTTGAGATTAAAAGTCAAAATTTAACAAAAAAAATGTTACTCCATGGCCCTTCTACGCCGTCGTATTTTTGTGAATCAATTGGACCTCGCCGACAAGTTTTGTAAACTTGGCGAGGCCAAGATGTTGTATTATCACAAATAAATATATTTGAATTTGAACATAACTGTAAACAATCCTACTTTGATAGTTCTCATTGTATATTACAGCTTTTTGTTGATGCTAGTTCAAATTAGCCATTGTCATAAATGCAAAATGAATAATAGTGCTGCACCCTGTTGGTAAACCTTGTAATAACTTTTTAATGCTATTGAACATCATAGAACCAACTTGTCTAGTTGAACCAGCGGCCAAAACTCTTCAATTCCTTTCAAATATTAACTATTAACCTGCCTCACTTTGTGACTTCAAAATCTGTGATATATTTGATATTTGGTTGATACGGATGAAAACGGTTATATTTCATCATATTCCTATTATTTGTTTTGCAAGCCCTATTATTTTCATAGCATGCGCAATCTCTTCGAGGTATCTTTTAGAAAAATTACAAATACTTATGAAACATATTGTGAAAACACAAAATCTAACATAAGTAATTTTCTTCTTTACATTTTATACAACTAACATTACGATATTTTACTTGAATTCCCCAAAACATCAATAAAGCGTACTACGAAGAAACAAAATTCTCTCATGATACAATACATAATGTAAGTAATTTTCTTCTTTACATTTTATACTAATAACAATAACATTAAAAAATTTTCCTTGAACTCACTGAAACATCACCAACTGGATGTAAACAAAACAATATTGTATCATGGCCATCTGTTTTGATAAAAAATGTAAACTTGAAAAAGTTCAGATGATTGACAACAGAATTCTGCATAAACTATGAAATTGTAAAAGCCTATAGGACGAAGGGCTTTCACAGAATATCAACCAAACCTGCAAAAGGCACATCTAGAGGATAAGAGCTTTAAATTGATACCCAATG